AATGGACCTTCTTGCCAAAATACTCCTGTAGGAATATTTTTTGTTGGTAGTACAATAAATAATAAAGGCAAACTTATATCAATTCTATCCAAATGCATATTTTCCATATATGTTTCAATGATTTTTAATGCCTTTCTTGCTTCAGGCGTTAACATTCGGGGTGAATTTGGATCTGATGGACCTTTTAGGATATCAAATAAAGGTCCCAACTCTCCTGTTGGTATACCTACATAAGGCCTTATCCAATTTATGTCTCCTAATAACTTTTGAAAGTCGTTAAGTGATTTGAGTTGATCTACTCGTATTTGAATTTTGGGTGGACGGACCATGGTTGAGGATAATAGAACTCCTAAATAATTAATTGGAAAATTTAATTGTACTTTATCTATTGCTATCTCTAGATTATAATTTTTTAATAAGTTTATAAGTGTGGCATAACATTCTAGCAATGTGTTTTTATCTTTGTGTGCTAATAATACATCATCCATATAGTGAAATATTTGTAGTTCAGGATTTTGATTTCTAAGTGGCTGGATTACTTTGTTAACATAAATTTGACACATAGTTGGGCTGTTAGCCATCCCTTGAGGGAGTACTTTCCATTCATATCTCTGATCAGGACCTTCATGATTCAGTGCAGGGATAGTAAATGCAAAACGTGGACTATCCTCAGGATGAATTGGAATTGAAAAAAAACAATCTTTAATATCTATAACTAAAACATACCAGGTTTTTGGCAAAGCAGACAACTGAGGAATCCCTGATTGAGCAGGTCCCATAATAACCATCTCATTATTAATGGCTCTTAAATCTTGCAATAATCTCCATTTACCAGATTTCTTTTTGATGACAAAAATGGGAGTATTATGGGGAGATACAGAAGGTTGTATATGTCCTTCTGCTAATTGTTGTTTGACCAGGTCATGGGCTGCTTGTATCTTTTCTTTAGTCAGGGGCCACTGAGGAACCCATACTGGTCTTTCTGATTTCCAAGTAATTTTTATTGTCTCAGTGGCCCTTTCTGAAAATCCAACCCATGTCTGTCTGTTCCTTGATCTATTTGTATTGGTGCTGCTATACCTTGTTCTAGTTTTTCTAATCTTTTTCCTTTCCTAAAACCTTGTCTAGTCATAATAGTGGGTGCATTTTGGTTGATGTTATTTGTTAATGTCAAACCTAATTGATCTAGGACATCTCGTCCCCATAAATTTACGGGAAGATGATCCAATACATATGACTGTATAGTTCCTTCACATCCTTTAGGATCCTTCCAATCTAATACCATTGCACTTCTATGGGGATTAGTCGCCACTCCTAGGCCTCGAAGTGTTTGAGTGGCTTGTTGTAATGGCCAATGTTTTGGCCATTCTTGACGAGAGATGATGCTAAGGTCTGCACCTGTATCCAGTAGCCCATTAAATTCATGTCCTTGAATATTTAGTTTTAGCATGGGGCGAGAATCTAAATTTAAAGAAAGCATAGCCCAATCTACACCTGTGGAGCCTAATCCCTTGGAACCTCTTTCTACAGTACGACTGGAAAATTTATCATGTAGGCTGGGTATTATTAGTAACTGTGCTATTCTATCTCCTGGTGAAATTACTGATATACCCTTTGGAGAACTGGCTATAATTTTTATTTCACCTTCATAATCAGGATCAATTACCCCAGGACTCATCATAAGTCCTTTTAGAGTAGAAGAGCTGCGTCCCAATAATAAGCCTACTGTTCCTTTGGGAAGAGGTCCTTTCACCCCTGTGGGAATGATTTGAACTCCCATCTCTGGAGTTAGTACTGCTCTGGCAGAGGCGCAGATGTCCAACCCTGCGCTCCCTCTGGTTTGTCTGATGAGGGATCTGATGGACAATGTGTCCTGGGCACTACCCTGATGGGGTTGCTAGGTTCCTCCAGTGCTCCGTATATTTGTGGTTTTGGGCCCCGGAGCATTGGGCCCCCCTGTCCATTTTTTGGCAATGGAGCCCGATGCCTTTCTCCACGATATCGTGGATAAACACCTGGTCCTTGTTCGTTTTTTGATAATGGAGTACCCTCTATGGTGGTTTGAGAACGGCATTCATTAGCCCAATGTCTCCCTCTACGGCACCGTGGGCAAATACCTGGTATTCTACTCCTTTGATACCTAGTTTTGTTAAACCCTCCTCCAATGGGGCAATTCCTTTTAAAATGTCCTGTTTGTTCACAATTGTAGCATGTTCTTGGCCTGGCATCTAAAGCCTGTTTTACTGCAGCTGCCACAATTTGCCCTTGTTCATTAATGTCTCTGGCATCTAAAGCCTGTTTTACTGCAGCTGCCACGACTTGCTCTTGTTCATTAATGTCTCTACATAATTTAATATATGTGTTTAAATCTTCATGTTTCCATGGTCTAATGATATCTCTGCACCAACGATTCGCTTGCTCATAAGCCAGGTGTTTTAGTAATGGCATTGCTTGTTCTGTATTCCCAAAAACTCTGGTAGCTGTTTGAATAAGCCTATCTACAAATTCAGCATAAGGTTCATTAGCTCCTTGTATTACCTTAGATAATTGACCTTGTAAACCTCCATGTCCTTGTAAAGTCTTCCATGCCTTAATTGCATCTGCAGCAATTTGTGCGTATACGCCAGGATCATATGCAATTTGTTGCTGCTGATCCTCATAAGGTCCCTTTCCTAACAACATATCTAGATTTCTCTGAGGATAACCAGCTGCTGCATTTTGCCTAGCCGTCTCCTTGCAAAATTCCTCATTGGCAACCTTCCATAACAGGTATTGTCCTCCATTTAGCACAGCTTTACACATATTAGCCCAATCTGCTGGCGTCATGTTCAAGTTGTTAATGGATTCGACCATGCTTACAGTGAAGGGTGCTTGAGGACCATAGGTTGTTACAGCCTCTTTTAGTTGCTTCACTGTTTTGAAATTTAAAACTTGGTAAAATCGCTGCCCTCCTGCCTCAAATACAGGGCATGTTAGTATTTGAGATCTTGTCTCAGGATCCCAACTATCAACTGCGGGGGTTGGGGGCCTCCCAGCATATGGAGGTGGCGCTGTTGGTTGGACACTTACGCCCTCTGGTGATAGAAAGGTGTTAGTAGCAGTCTCCTGTAGAGGTGGTGCTGTTGGTTGGACACTTACACCCTCTGGTGATAGAAAGGTGTTAGTAGCAGTCTCCTGTTGTAACTTTCCCCCTGATGGCTTTTTCTGTTTTACACTTTCTTTCTCTGTCTGACTAGCTTGAGAGGCCTTCTCTTTTACTTGAATCTTTTCCTCTGTCTGACTAACTTGAGAGACCTTCTCTTTTACTTGAATCATTATGTCTTCTCCTTCCTCTACCATTGTCTGAACTGAAGGCTTTGGACTAAGCAAACAAGATACGAATGTCCACAATGGCAATGTGCCAACTGGCAGAGTCCCTGGGCTTTTCTTTTCTATTCTTTTTAAATCTTCACCATGATGGTTCCATTGTGATATATTTAACAACTCCTCCTTAAAAAGCCATGGGCTACATTTTTGTATTGTATCAACGTATGCCCTGACTGCTCTTGATTTTACTGGGATGCCTCCTTCCTCTAACAATTTACTTAACACTCTTTCAGTTTGTTTTTTACTAATTTCTGATCCCATATTTCTACTATAATACAACCCAACAAGATGACGCCAAACAAAACCGAGACAGAATGAAATAAAAAGGGAACAACAAAAAGTCATTATAGCCTTTCTATCCTCCTGACATGTGCATCCGTCCTTTCTCCCTATCTGTTCCTCAGATGTAAATAGTTTTTCCTCAGATGTGACCGGTTTTTCTTCCGTCTCACTCATCTCCAGGGACAGGCAACTTAAAACAAAAGTGAAGCAAAATAAAAGAGGAATCTTAAAATGGCTACCCATCCTCTCGCCCTGCCCTCAGGGGCGAGCAGTTTCACTTACCCTCAGTCGCTCCCCGTGCGAGCCACCAAATGCCGCAGTCTGGCTGGGCACAATCAGGAGCCACTTGTCAAAAGAAACTAACTTTATTTTTAGAACCACACACGCCAAACAAAACAGCCTCTCAGGAAAAACCCTCAGAGCCTCAACTGCCACCACCGGCTTTCCACAAGCCTCTCTCTCCCACACAAGCTTCTCTCCACCTCCCACAATCCTCCTGCTCTTGAGGCCGATTGGCTGGGTCATGTGGGCGGAGCCAAAAAAGTCCCCCAATGAGCAGCTCCGTGGTCTGAAAGGGCAGGGAAACAGCCCAATGAGCATCACCGCAGAGGAGCCAATCAGCTAGATGTTGCTGGGGCCGAGGAGCCAATCAGCTAGATGTTGCTGGGGCCGCTGTGAGCCAATCATCAGCCAGCAGCTGGAAGTTTGCTGGCAGCTGGAAGTTTGCTGGGGCCCCTTTGGCTGTGGCTCTCAACAGTGTATCATTTAAAAAAAAATAGGGCTGGGGATATAGCTCAGGTGGTAGAGTGCTTGCCTCGTAAGCACAAGGCCCTGGGTTCAATCCCCAGCACTACCCCCCCACCAAAAAAAAAAAAAAAAAAAAACCTCCTTATACATGTTTATGCTTCCTATAGAGAAAAGTGCCCCTGTGAGCTAAGAACTAGCATTCCAGCCAATGCATTAAGAAAAACTTGAACCATGCTCCCTGAAATCACACCCAGCTATTGTCTTCAGGAATAAGGGGATTATTTCAATCAATCCCAAAGGGGTTCATGGCCCAAGGGATAAGTGAGACATCTGCTAGGGTATGGATAAATACAAATTCTTCTATTTTTTTTCATTTCATGTATAAAAATGAAAGAATAAAATTTAGCATTACTCAGTGAGAATGTGGATTGACAGCTGTATTTCTATATAATACACATAAAGGTGCAAGAACAAGGATTTCCTACCTACAGAGACGTCAGATCAAAGCAAGTTCAGAGACCTAAGGTTCTCGGGGAGCCTTCAGGACAGACCCAGCCTCCTGGAAGGCTCATCAGCAGCATGCTGGCCAGGCATGAGTACTATACCTTCACAGTGTGGAAATCCAATCTGCGACAGAATCTGGTTCAAGGTCAATTTGTTGCTCTTAAGTCCATGCAGTTGAAGCCATTTCTCAGATGAAATGAGACTCTGTTCAACCAATTGTGTCTTGGTGTTGCTTAGTCCCTCCTGTCTGTGCAGCTGCTGTTTAGATGAATCTGATTCCTCCATCTCTGAGTCAAGATGCAAGTCACTGGGACCTCCTGAGTCAAATTCGGACTTCCTGAAAACTTGAAAATAATTTTCTCAAATCAACAGAGGACTGATTTAATAAAAAAAAAAAACTCATGACATGCAATTCTATTTACCAGTTAAAATTACAATATAGATATACATTTGTTGGCAAAGATATCCACATATATTGCTGAGAGGTACCCATAAAATTCAATACACACACAAACACACATACACACAGAGAGAGACAAAGAGAGAGAAAGAGAGAGAGAAGAGAGAGAGAGAGAGAGAGAGAGAGAGAGAGAGAGAGAGAACGCATCTAGAAGGATATATGCCAATAAGTTTGCAATAATTATCTATATGTAGCAGAAGTATGGGTGGTTTTTGCCTTTTCTATATTGTTTAAATTTTTCTTTTTACCTTTGCAAAAATGCATATTGCTTTGTTTTGTTTGTATGTTTTGCTTTATTTTGCTTTGTTTTGTTTTGGGGTACTGGGGATTGAACTCAGGAACACTCAAGGCCCTGAATTCAATCCTCAGCCCTGTTTTATATGTTATTTAGAAACAGGGTCACACTGAGTTGCTTAGCACCTTGCTGTTGCTGAGGCTGGCTTTGAACTTGCGATCCTTCCTCCTGCCTCAGCCTCCTGAGCTGCTGGGATAACAGACAGGCACCATTGCACCCAGCACATATTGTTTGATATTGAACATTTCTAAAATAGGAATTGCTTTTATAAACAGAAAATCTCTCCCCAGAAACTGCATCACACATCTGTATTCCAATTATAACCACACCTGACATTTTGCACCCACAAGGATATAGAGGAAGTGTGCATGGTCTGCAGACGGAGTGGCTAACTGGGAACTGGTGGCAGGCAGGAAGCAGATCTCAGTTGGGCCCTGGTGGAATACATGCACACATCTTCTCAGAGTTTGATTTTCTGGGATTTCATTCTAAAATTGGACTGAAACATTCTGGTTCATAGAATGAGCTATTCTGGGATCAACTGGACACAAAGCAATATGCAACCTATTAAACTTATCTCAACTCACCTAAATAAAGTAGTGTAACAGGGAAAGGGAATGGCCACACTGTAATGCAATCCTTTTTTTTTTTTTTTAAACTGGGAATGAACCCAGGGGCGTTTATCCACTGAGCCACATCCGCAGCCCTTTTTATATTTTATTTAGAGACAAGATCTCCCTAAGTTGCTCAGGGCCTCACTAAATTGCTGAGACTAGCTTTGAACTAGCTAGTCTGCCTCAACCTCTGGAATTACAGGTGTGCGCCACCACACCTGACTATAATGCAATCTTAACCCACCACAACTGAGCGGGGCCTGATGACTTGGAGGAAGTGTGAAAAGTTCTGCTTACCTCTATATCCAGAGCGTGATGCATAAGAAGGTTGCCTGGACCGTAAAACTTTTCAACAACAAAAAAAATTCCCTTTTCCAAAACTCTTTTTAAAAATATTTATTTTTTAGTTGTAGTTGGACACAATACCTTAATTTTATTTACTTTTATGTGGTACCCAGGGCCTCGCACCTGGTAGTTGCGTGCTCCACCGCTGAGCCACAACCCCAGCCCTGTAAGACTCTTAACTGTATTTCCTAAATCTCAGTATTATGATGAAAACAGTCTTGAAAATTAGTATCAGATCCTCGTTCCCCCAGTGTTGACGATTAAACACTGGAGAAAAACTGAGGCAAGAGCAAAAAAGCAAATTTTATTGGAAAGAGAGAAGAGAGAGAGAGAGAGAGAGAGAGAGAGAGAGAGAGAGAGAGAGAGAGAGAGAGAGAGACTACCCATCCTCCAGAGAGGAAGCTGGTAACCATTCTGGGGGTGTTTTGCCCCTTTATAGATTTCAGGTTTCCTTTCTTCTCAGGTGTACCTGACCAAAAGGCGGGAAGAGAGCCACCCAGAGATGGTTGGAAAATGTGATCCTCCCCCTTCTCGGACACTGTTAGCAACCAGGTGATGGGAATTGCTATCTACTCATTTCCTTTTCTTTGTTAATCTGCTACCCTTTCTTTGCTCTGTCTTATTGACATGGAAATTCAGTCAAACACAAAAATCAGTTGGACCCAAGCCAGGGAGGCCTGAGTGCAGAGAAGTTAGTAGTGCCTCCAAGGTTTGCAAACACTTATTTAACAAGGTGGTGTGTGCAGTTATAATAACCTCAGGAGGCAGGCACTATTCTTATTCCCTTTTTGCAGATGAGGAATCCGAGACAGCCCAATCTCACAGCTGGTAGCAGGTGTAACTCTGATTCTAACCCCGGCCATTCATCCCCAGTGTCTGTGTTCTGTGGCTTTTATTATAATAGAAACAAGGGCAGCAGCTTCCACAGTGGCCAGGCACTGGGCGGAATCCTTCATGAGCACTGGCCCACAGATTCCTCATAACCACACAGTTAGTGATGCTAACTAGAAACTATGAGAATAAAGAACTTGATTGCAAGTTCTGCCACGGCCAGTAAGTGGCAGAAGCAGGAGTCCAAGCCGCTGCTTTACCACTCTGTTATCTTTAGAGCCAGCCTCCTCCAGCCTGATTCTATGGGACAAGTCTACAACTGTGTTCCAGTAGAAGCACATTTTCTTAGGGTTCCTGGTCCTCATCCAACAGAGATAGCATTAACCTTTATTCTCAGAGCTCAGGCTCAACGTGCCTCCTGGCTTATTGCTCTTGAACTTTTAACTTTTCCATGTCAAGTTGTGTATGACTTTGTGTTATTCCTATATGTTGACTTCCAAAGGTATATACATTCGTACTGTTAAAGAACCCACTTTCTTCCTACAAGGCTCAATTTGATTAGTGTGTTACAAGATTATTTGGAGAACATGACAGAGGAGCAGAAAAGTTTAGACTCCAAACTCACTGTAAACTAGTTATGCCACTTTAGGAAGTGATTTTACCTCTTTACCATAGCAACACCAAAGTGGCACGCCCTAACCCCAGGTTACTCGAAGGATCAAATGTGATGTTGTAGGACTTAGGCATGGATAAGCAATTACTGCATGGAAAGAGCTGTGTGCAAAGAAACCATCTAAAAGCCATTTTCCTTTAGTGTTATATGTTGTTTCATGGCATCCACTTTTTTTTTTGAACCCAGGGAGACATAACCCCTGAGCCACATCCCCAGCCTATTTTGTATTTTAGTTAGAGACAGGGTCTCACTGAGTTGCTTAGCACCTCACTTTTGCTGAGGCTGGGTTTGAACTCGCGATCCTCCTGCCTCAGCCGCTGGGATGACAGGCGTGTGCCACCAAGCTTGGCTCATGACATCCACTTTTATTTCAAGTACCTTTTTAATCCAAAATTCCCAGGCATTTTGAACTATGAAGTTCAGAATAAATCACAGATAGTGAGAACAAGGGCAGATCAATATGCTTCAACTTTCTTTGGGGGAATCTGTCCACAAAGGCTACAGCTAAAATTCTTTTAAATTGGGTCAATTGTTCCTATAGAAACAAGGAAGGGAAGCTCAGAAGAAAGATTTCTTTACTACTTCGTCATTTCCAGTTAATCTTCCTCTTCCCTAAAACACACCCACTCCTACATTCTTGCCAGAAGGAGCTACATGTCTTGGGTTTAAAAGGGAAGAGGTTTTACTTCTTTATTTCTGCTTTCAAATTTTAATTAATTTTAAAAGGACACATTCTTGATTCCAAACCAAAGGTAGCCAAATTCCCCAGCTTAGCTCAGGTACACATCCCCAGTTCCTTTTGGGATTATCTGACTTTTTATTTTATTTTTTTAATAGGTGGGATTGGCTCTATAGCATCTGAGAACATGTATGATTCATTCTGACTCAAACCTCAGCTCCAGGGTTTTATAGCCTGACAATACCTGTACTGTCAGACATGAAAGGAAGTGGAAAGTGGAACAAGCCAGAGAAAACAAGGAAGAAAAGAGAAAGGGCATCTCCCAACAGGAGGGATCTTCTACTCAAATGGGATTAAAAAAAAAAAAGACTATTCTAAGAGCAAGGAAGCCTGCCTGAAGCCAGGATTAGCAAAGGACTCCCCATCCCACCCCATCAACACACAGCACCCCACCCATGTTTTCCCACCTCCAAGCTGATCTCCAGCATTCTGTGAGGAATCTCAGCCTCCAGATCTGGCATCAAATGCTGCCTCTCCAGATTCCCTTCACTTTGAATACTTCATCTCTCTAGCCTTGGACACTTCTGGTGTGACCTCTCTAGACTAGAAGAAGGTTCCACGGCTGTACTGGCAAACTCTAGGAAGGCTCTCAGCACAGTGCCTTATATACAGCAAGCACGTTGTGTAAGTGATGAGATGAATTAAATCCATCACTTGGAACTTACTGACAGAATCCTGATATTTTTTTTTTCAAAACCAAGTAAAGATTCACAATTCTAAGGAGGCTAAGAATGGGAAACAGCTATCTTTTTAACTATAGACATTATGTTCTGGATATAAGTATACTATTTATTTACTACTATTATTTAGGTTTTATCATCTGAGGTTACTTACAAATTGGGAGACCAAAGAACCCAGAAGTCAGAACAATGTAACACATTCCATTTTGAACATTGTCCAAAGTTTTAAAAGTTATGCCAAGAATCATGGAATTTGAAGAAAGAGGAAGGGATTTCCTGAGTAAGAGGAGGAAGTGAAAGAGGAAAAGACGGAAGTGAAAGTCTGAGCTGAAGCCTTGGGTAGGCAAAGCTTTTGGAGAAAATAGAAAGTTTATGGCTTAAGTCCAAGGGCCACAACCAAAGGAAGTAGGGGCTCCATGTCCTTCCAGCCCTGCTGGACTTCTGCCTGTCCTGGGCACCCAACTGATGCCCCACAGCTGCTTTGGGGGTGGTGGGAGTCCCATGCCCTACAAGGTCATATCCTATGTGATAAGAGGCTGAGAGGCAAAGCAAGACTTAAGAGTTCATCAATTTGGCTTCAGCATTTGGTAAGCTTTAGGATCAGCCTCCCAAACTTCCTATTCTTGGTAACTTCTGAAAAAAAAAAAAAAAGGTCTAGGCGAGGTGGTTATGTCTTGTGATTTCTGAGAGTTCTGAATTGTCATGCT